TTTTTTTTTTTCCGTTCCTGCTCAACAGAGAAACCTCTTTACAACACACGTGATACTGAACCCATCAATGCTGATGTACAGTATACGTATATCCCTTGTGTGCATATGCATCGTGATCTTGTATACTCCTGCAGTGATTGTGCAGTTAACAGTGCTAGTTTCAGTCGTTTTTTCCAGATGCAACACTTCCTCCTTCTAAGAACTAATTTCGTATAAAGGTCATCTTGTTTTTTCTGCCAATGTTTGGGTCATGATTTCAATAATAAATGCAAGGTATGTTTTACAATGTATGTTTGATGGTTATCAATATTACTTTTTCATCAGTTTTTAGGAGAAACTAACAAACAGATTTTTTTAGATGGATAAACCAAGTACAAAAACAATGTACAGACACTGGTGGGTGTGGCCACACGTCAGCAGAATTCGCTCAAGGTGAAAGATTTGAGACCCTTTGAGATTCGGATGATCATTTCTAACTTAAACACTAAATGTAAACTGTACACACCATTACACTGCAAATAATAAAATGTTTAAAAATGTGTCTGTTTTGTGTAAGGTGTTTAAATATTGCTGGCCCACATTGGCTGAATGTGTTTGTGTTTTTTTTTTGTTAGCCTATTTGTTATTGTATGTGTGTTGTAGAGATCTTTTTCGTCACTATTCTGAGGTTCAAATCTCATAAATTTAAATTTTACACATGAATTGAATGATCTAATGAAGTTCACTCATGTTTTGGGTTTGTTAAATATGTTGTTGAATAAGTTTGTTTACAAATGACGTGTTTTGAATTAAAGATGAATCCCTGGTGAAACGTCTGCTATAAGACTATGAATAAATAGTTTTAAATGTAGAAATAGGTCTTTTCATACACATAATGGTGTAGTTTATCAAACAGCCCATGTATAGAGCGCCATCTAGTGTTCAAAAGAAGACTTCACATCAGGAACAATAACACTCGGGTTCTTTCGGTGTTTGTTTATTGGTCCACTGATCTTCTGTCTCTATATAGCTCAGGTCCCTCTTTCAATGCAATCTGTGGGATTTTTCCCCCTCCTGTTTATCCAGTAAGTGAAAATGGTGAGAATTACACACGATGGATGATAAATAATATATATAATGCATAGCACAAGATCTAGAATCATAACCAGGAATCAGCTTCACCATCTAATATAAGTATATTAAATAAAAAGCTTTTGATAATACAAGCTGCTTCTCCCAGACTGGCAACTGGGAGAAAGTGGACATTGACTGAGGCCGTACAGCAAGCAAAATCTGCTCTCAGGCATGGAGACACTATAGGACAGGTCCAGCAGGGAAGAGGGGTTTTTGGACTCGGGACAAGCCGACCCATATGGTACAAGGCAACATCTGCCCAGAGAAGAAAGCTGGTAGAAGCAGCAAGAGGAGGCATGGGATAACAAAGGCAGTTTAGAAAAACCTGGAGAAACGTAAGCTCACCTGTAAGGATATTTGGGAGATGGAAGGGACAGGCTGAGCTTCATCAGAGCCACCTATGATGGTCTTCACACCCAAGAACAGACACCAGTGGACTGGAGAAGATCCATCATGTCCTCGCTGTCAAACCCTAGTAACGATTCTCGTCAGCTGCAAAACCAGTCATTCCAAAGGCCGTTACACTTAGAGGCACAATCAGGTCCTGGAGCAACTGGAGATGATCCTGGAAGGAAGGAAAACCACCACCAATGCCCTTCCTCCTCCAAAGCATGGATTCTCAAAATCCACTGCCTTGATAATAGCAGGACAACTTCCAGTGATGCCAACAAGCAAAAGTGCTGAATAACCAGAATGCCCAAATAAGTGCAAGATGTCAGCGCAATATTAGGACTTTTCACCAATGGAAGAGAGTGAAGGGGCGTTGTAGACGCTCAATCTAATACTGACGGCTACTGTGGTGGTTTAGCCCAGGAGTGCTCTGGCTGACGCGCTGTACCTATGTTATTCTTTGCATCATTGAATCTCCAGACTTTGTTGTGTTGCTTAGTATAAAGTTTATTTGTTTGTCCGTTCATAGATAAATTTCCATTATCCATTTCAACGGTAGCTAACCATATCCATCATACCCAATTGAATATCAACAATACATTTTAGCGCCATCGCGCCACAGCGGTCGAAAACCTTTTGCCCTTCCGGGACAAAACCCCCCTCTTGGTAGTTTGGGTCCTTCCTTTATACATGCCCCAGGTGATAATAGAGTGACACCCAATGTACAAACGAGGAACAGCACCCAATATCAAAATGCACAAATACAAATTTGGCTCCTACAGGCGTCGTCCATCGTTTTTTACAGTATATGGAAGCCAACTACAAAAATGTGACTGGAAAACACAAGTTGATCTAGACCAGTTTTCCACCTGAGATAATCACAACTAACTTCAGGCCGGACCTGATCCTGTGCTCAACCTTGTAAAAGTCCCTGTTCATTGTGGAATTAACTGTGCCATGGGCGGCGAATTAGTAAAGCGAATGAACATAAAAAATACGTACTCAGTCCTAGCAGCCGAAGAAGTACAACGGGCTGGAAAACCCAGTTGATCCCAGTAGAGGTTGGTTGCAGAGGTTTTGTAGCCAAAGCAACAACCGGGATACTGAAGGGGGTGGGAGTCAGAGGACCGGCCTTCTGACAAGCTGTTGGGTCACAGTCAGAGATGCTGAGCAAAGCAGGAACTGTCTGTGGCTGAAGCGGAAAAATCCCAAATGGGCCACAAAATGACCAAGAGGAGTAAAAGCAGAGGAGAGCGCATCTTGCTTTTGAGCTCTTTGGAGGTGTCGTGGGCCTATCAACGAAACATCAAGGAATGAGGGAGCCCAACTGAAATGATTACCCCTACCCCCCACTCAAGTCCCTGTAAAGTCAAAATTAAGTACATGTTCTGAGTCTGTCATACCACAGAAAAATGTGATATTAGCCACCCAGCCAAATTTGAATGATAAAAAAGCAGGCAAGTACATAAAATAAGCTATCAAAATCTTGAAAAAATCAGCAGTTATTTCTGTTCTCAAACGCTGGGGGCGTGTCCACTGGCTGCGCTGAAACCACGGCCACTCGCGGAAGCTGTCGACGGTGATATTAGGTGAAACTGCTTTCGGAACGGGAGGATGAACGCTGAGGCGGAAGATAGTCGTTTCGGCCCCGTTGCTGTCGGTGATCCTCAGCTCTTCATCAAGGTTGGCTCTACACAAAATTAATCCACCTCTTCTTGATGTGATCGCTTTTAGGAAATTTAAATAAAGACACCGATCTGTTTTGTACATGATCGCATCCAGGTAGTAGCCTATGTATTTCCTTGTCAAAGGCATAGCAAGCTAGAAAACTGTAGACTGTAGTAACTAATAGTAGGACAGTAACTCGCGATTGAGCGGCGAATGCAAATGTGCTCTATTGTTAGGGGAGGGATCAGCCAACGTGCGTCATCAAGTTGGGCGTGTCCACGAGCTCTTGGGCTCCAGTGCGTCATCGAGCCCTGTTATATGCTGCGTTCAAGTCCTACGTACGAGGTGGGAAGTCGTGTTTACAACGTGAGGTGCGTTCAAGTCAGTTTCGTCGGAGCAAAACGGCAGTGTACCTACTTTTAATGAATTACACGAAAATACAGCAAAGTTTGTTAACTCTGCTAATAAAAAAAAAGAAGAACAAAGAATGCGCATCAGGTGTGTTTTTCTTTTAGCTTATGAAGCCAATGTAAACTCTATCATTAGGTATAATATTTATTACAATGATATCATATTTTGTGCAGAGAGCTTGCTTTATAAATGAAAAAGCCTTACAATGAAATTCAATTAAAATTTACCGTCAACAGACGTTGAATTAACGTTTCTCACTGACACGCCCCCAACTCGTACAGATCGGGGCTTAAAGAAAATCCCGAGCTCCCCACTGGTATTTACGACATTGTGGTGGCGTTCAAGTGCGTTCAACTCGTAATTACGATCTATACGAGATGACTTGAACGCAGCATTAGCCCCGCCCAAAAAATCCGTAAAATAGCAAGGTTGAAAAACTGTTGAACGGTCTAACTCCGTATTTCAGAACTTCACAGTTCACAGTCTTTGTAATATGTTTTAGCAATACATTTGTAACATTTATAATGTATTTACAATTTTTTTGTAGAATTACCTTTACAGGAACTTTAAGAAAGTGCTGATTATTATAAGGGATTGTACTACAGTATCAAGTCAACACACAGTTGAATGGCTAGTTGGTTTGGGTAAAGGTCAAAAGTTGAGGTCCTTTGATATATGTTTGATACTTTTCTGCATTAATCATTAGTTGTATGATATGATATTGAACTGATAAATGGCTCCATCTGGTGTGCTTTTGAAGAACAGCATCATCACTGTGCGCTCAACAGGACCCATCAGGATGTGCACCAACCCTATATTGTTGGATTTTAACATTCCTTAAAGGGTACATATCATGAAAATATGATGGTTTCACTTTATTTGGATGGTCCCTTTAACACATTCAGTTATAAGCAACGTTACACTTACATCTCTACTAACTCTCACTAGAGTGTTAATAGACTGGTAGGGTTAGGGATAGAATAAGTTGACATGTAGTTGCAAAGTTACTTGTAGTCTGTAGATTGTCTGTTGGAGGAGCATCACCATAAAGAGTTGGCAGATGTTAAGCGGACAGTCTAATAATACTCTAATGAGAGTTATTTGACATGTAGTTACTTACAGTCAACAGGATGTTCAAAAGGGACCATTAAAATAAAGGGTTACCGATCTTATGAGTGAATAGATTGATGTTTAGCAGCAGTTCATTTGCATTTAAAGGGACACACACACACGGAAATGACGTGTTTTTGCTTACACCCAAAAATGGCCAAAGCTACAGTAGGTGATCTGTGGGGTATTTTGAGTTGACATTTCAAAGGCACATTCTGGGAACATTTATATTACATCTGGTGAAAGGGGTCAAAATGCAGTGAAAGACTAAATTACACTTATTAATGGCAAAAACACTAAAGCTCTTTATAATTCTGATGATCTGTAGTTTATAGAGTCCACAGTCTGTGATTCTGGTGTTTGTGATGGTCAGAGATCCAGTCTGATGATCCAGCTTCAGTCTGTAAATGTAACACATGCAAACAAGCCTCACAGTACAATCTCTAGAATTTGAATATTTTATTCTTTACCAAATTGATGTAAAATTATATGTTTTAATCACTTTTACAGACTAAACTTGTGAATCACAGTGTTAGATATAATCATGTTTCAATTGTTTTCCTGTCTCTGTGTGAAACAGTTCCTGTAGATATCATGTTTCTGTAGAATAAAGTTCAAAGCTGTTCATACAGAAGCAGGACAGGAAGACACTCTTTACCAACACACTCACACAAATACACACACTCAGAGCCTAGTCTCGCATATAAAATGCCCATTCACCCCAATGATCAAACCACAAAAAAAGAAGAAAAAAAGAAAGAAATAACCCACAGAAGGTTTCAGTTTGACTCAGAATATGAACGTCAGTAAAACTATGAGACCAGATAAGCATTTAACATTGTACTTTATTTTTTCATACACTTAAAATTAAGTTAAAATTCAATATATGCAACTACTATTCAAACTATTTAAAAAGTATGTTAAATTACAGTAAAGAATTTTTCAACCATTAAGGAGAGTTGAAGTCTTAATAAGGGCTTGAAATACTATAACATTATATGATATGCAAATGCGGCGAGTGAAACTAGGAGGGTCGATCTGTGTCGTGGGAGGATTTTCAGCAGATAGTTGTATTACACCAGCCACTGAACTACTGAAGACAATGCTTTTCACATGCGTTTTCTTCTGTCTGTGCTGATGCTGTTTGATTGGTAAGTTATATAAAAAAATGTATGGTTTAATTGTTTTTTTAATTCTGCTACACGCTCAGAGGAAAAGGTACAAAAGCTGTCATAGGGGTGAAACCTTCACAAGTAATGTAATAATTTAAGCACTAGGGATGCACCGATATGAACATTTTGGCCGATACCGATAACCGATAATTCTTTATATTTGAAAACCGATAACTGATATATCGGCCGATAAATCTAAATCTAATTTTTATATAATTTTCGAAAAGCCTGATTGCAAAAACAAAAGTCTCACAATTCAAATCACGATTGTAATGTTCTCATAATAATTTCACGTAGCCGATATGACAGCACATTTTGCACTTCGTTTTTGATTCCAATCATATTTCAAGCAATTAAGATCAATCATGTTGAACAGTGCGCATCTGAAGTGTTGAGGGAAATAATTAATTATTTATCAGCTTTAATACATCAGCCAAATTTTATTATCGGGCCGATAACGAGAACATAAAAATGAGCAAATATCGGCCGATACCGATATAGTGGCCGATATATCGTGCATTCCTATTAAAGGATTAGTTCACTTTTGAAAAAACTTTTGCTGATAATTTACTCACCCCCATGTCATCCAAGATGTCCATGTCTTTCTTTCCTCAGTCGAAAAAAAATTAAGGTTTTTGATGAAAACATTCCAGGATTTTTCTCCATATAATGGACTTCAATGGGAACCAGACGGTCCTAGTTAATAACAGTTTCAGATGCAGCTTCAAATGTCTTTAAACGACACCAGATGATGAATACGAGTCTTATCATGCGAAACGATCGCTTATTTCAAAACTTATTCCAAAAATGTAACTTTTCTAAGGACAAATGCTAGCCTCGCTCTATTCTGTGAGGCGCGTTTGTAACGTCACATAATACGTAATTACGTTCAAAAGGTCACGGGCGACGTAGCCGTAAGTACAGAGTCAGTGTTTACAAGTTGAACGCATAGGTTGAACGTGCAAACCAACTCAAACACCGTTTACAAAAAAATGAATTAAAAGGTAAAACAACGATGTCGGACGATAGAATAGAGCAAGGCGCAAGTACACACACTCTGAGCCTAGTCTCGCATATAAAATCGGACCCAAATGATCAAACCACAAAAAAAAGAAAAAAGAAAGAAAGAAATAACCCACAGCAGGTTTCAGTTTGACTCTATGAACTATGAGACCAGATACGCATTTAACTTTGTACTTTATTTTTTTCATACACTAAAATTAAGTTAAAATTAAATATACACAAGGCTAGCATTTGTCCTTAGAAAAGTTACATTTTTGGAATAAGTTTTGAAATAACCGATCGTTTCGCATGATAAGACCCTTATTCATCGTCTGGTGTCGTTTAAAGACATTTGAAGCTGCATCTGAAACTGGTATTAACTGTCTTTTGGACCTTGAACCATCCGGTTCCCATTGAAGTCCATTATATGGAGAAAAATCCTGGAATGTTTTCAACAAAAACCTTATTTTCTTTTCGACTGAGGAAAGAAAGACATGGACATCTTGGATGACATGGGGGTGAGTAAATTATCAGCAAAAGTTTTTTCAAAAGTGAACTAATCCTTTAAGCACTACCTTTAAGATACGTGAGCACACACAAGACGAGAAAAGAGACAGTGAATTCATGAACCGTGACAATCGCTGTGACCAACTTGCTTCGGCTATATCGTAGCGAACGCCGGTCACACCGGATGTGCTTTTATCTTTTCCTGGACATGACGTCACCCGCCCGTGATGCTCACTCTCATTGGAGTTAACATCCGTGCTACAGACGCAATCACGGATCGGCGTTCTCAAAGTGTTGTTGTTGACTTCTCAGGGAACTAGGGTTACAGTCGTAATCTGAGACGTTCTCGGGGAATCACCCTGGTGGCTAGTTTCTAGAACTAAGTTCATAGAATTACCCAATGTGAAAGCCCCTAATATGTACAGTAATATTTCGCAATTAATGCACACTTTAAGGTGTGTACATTTACAATACTAATATACACCCCGATTTGAAAGCTTTTGTACCTTACAAAAAGCAAGTTACATAAAAATAATTAGTGTGCTGCTCATTAAGTGTCATTCTTAATAACTATTAAGAACTATAATAGTACATCGTGCAAATGCAGGTTTGTGAAACTAGGAAGTTCAAACTGTGTCGTGGGAGGATTCACACAATACATCAACACTTCTGCTGTGTGTTTAGCAGGATTTTTTCAGATCTGACGCTGAACAACTGAAGAAAATGATTGTTTTGTTCGGTTTGTGCTGCTGGAGTCTAATCGGTAAGTTATTGAAACATGTTATGGCTTAATTCTTCTTTTCTCATATTAGAGTTATAAAGCTGCTATACTGCTCAAATGAAATTATTTTCATCTGCTGTTATACCGGACGAATCACGGATATTGGGAAATTTACTAACTCTGAATTCAGTCTCTGTTCAGAATTTTAAACTAAAATATAATTTTGAAATTAATGGAAATCTCTACAGTTAATGTACATATATTTCTGTAAATCTCTTTTTTCTTGTATGTTCGAATACATTTTTAATGGATTCAGTTCGGAAGTGTGTGAGTGTATTTATGCACAAATAAACATGTTTCAATCTGCAATAATTATTTATTACAAAGCAGTATTTGTTTTTAAATAAATATGTAACTTTAAACATAGATTTTCTTCAACAGCAGATCATTTTAAAACAATTTAAAGATAAATTATGTGTTGCAACATACAGGTTCATCTTAAATCAAGGTTTAACTAATAAATCTGTTGTGCCAAACTTTAAACTTTAAAATAATCAGATTTACATCTAAACCATCATTTTGATGCTGAATGGCGTTCCTTAACATTAAAGTAACACGGTCAATGTTAATATTAAAAGTAAACTCCTTAAGGAAGTGGTATATGATTGCAAATGTTTTTGTTGTTTTGGGAACCTGTTTACTTTGAGTTCATATCTGGAATATGTTCATATGATTAATATGTATAATAATAATTATTATTATTAATACAAGTCTTGAGTAGTACTAACCTATTATCTCTCCTTTTTTCATAAATGCTGCTGTATTAGTCCATTTATTGATATTATAAAAATGTATTTACATTTTTTAACATTTTATACTTATATTTATTTATAAGCAATTCATAAGCGCTTCTGCAATGTTTTCTCTGTCGGCTTTATTCTGAGCATCTATCTTTAATGGTAGCGTGTACAGTAGCACATATAAAGACATTTCTGGCTTTGTAAACCATCAAAAACCTTAAATGTGTGTGTTCATCAGGTGTGTTTGGTGATTCAGTGTCGGTGATGGAGGGAGATTCTGTTACTCTAAACACTGGTGTTACTGAAATACATGAAGATGACGATATAATGTGGACATTTGGAGATGAAAACTCTCTGATAGCTAAAATAAAAAAAAAGAAGCAAATCTTCACCACATATGATGATGTTCCTGATGGGAGATTCAGAGACAGACTGAAGCTGGACGATCAAACTGGATCTCTGACCATCACACACACCACAACTGAACACACTGGAGTTTATAGACTAGAGATAACTGGAGCGAACAAATCACCAAAAACATTCAGTGTTTCTATCTATGGTGAGTAGAGATCATTTGTCCAAATGTTCACATTTTAATTTTATAGTTTGAGCTGAAAGACACATTCTGTGACCGTTAACACACTAAACACTCACTCAACACAAAATTTACAACAACTAAAATAGACTGCTTGTTCATAGTTCTCTTTATCCTCTCATGTTTTCCAGCTCGTCTGCCTGTTCCTGTCATCATCAGTAACTCTTCACAATGCTCATCATCATCATCATCATCAAATTGTTCAGTGGTGTGTTCATCATCAGTGTTGAGTGTGTGTGATGCGACTCTGTCCTGGTACGCAGGAATGAGTGTATTGTCCAGCATCAGTGTGTGTGATCTCAGCATCAGTCTCTCTCTACCTCTGGAGGTGGAATATCAGGATAAAAACACCTACAGCTGTGTGCTGAACAATCCCATCAGCAACCAGACCACACATCTGGACATCAACACACTCTGCAGACACACATGTGCAGGTACAGCAGCCCTCATCATATATATGTGTGTGTGTGTGTGTGTTTACTGACCTGATCTCTGTCTTCTGGTGCATTCACTTCTTTCTTTATAATTACACAGACACACTTTCTCCTCCTCCAGTGTCTCTGATAGTGTTGATCTCTGCTGCTGCTGCTTCCGGATCTCTGTTGATTATAGTTGCAGTCGTGATCTGCTGCATCTGCAGGAAACGTAAAAAATTAGGTCAGGAGATCAAACAATTAATGCATATGTTGAAATATTTATCTTTTATAAGGCCAATTTCAATAGATTGAAAACTATGTTGTTTTTAACATGTATGCATTATGTTATTGTTGATGCAAGACATGAAGGATTCTGCATTGTGTAAACCAACTAGACGAAAAAAGGTAAGACCATTCATAACTTTGTTGCAAGAAGATGTTTGTTTGTATTGTTGTATTCAATGGGCTATGCATCTGACGGTCAGTGAACAGATTGTATTTTTCCTCAGTAACAATAAAAAATTATTATATTCAAAGATGTGTTCATCAAAAAAAAAGTCTATCTAAAATAATTTACTCACCGCACTGTTATGAATTTCTTTTAGGCAGTAGTAGTGTGTCAGCCTCATCGCCATTCACTTTCATAGCATATTTTTTAAGTGAACTAAACTGACAGTCACCACCGTTTGTGTTTCCCGGAAGAAAGTTTATCTCCACTGTGGGTTGAAACCATAGACTTTAAAAGAGGTTGTAACCATGGTTGTAACGGTAGACTCTCGTGTGTTTGTTGTCAATGTCGACTCGTGGTTGGGGAGAGTTGACGAGGAAGAGCTGCCGCTCGTCCTTGTTTAATCGTGCTGTAAGTATGCCATTTGGAAATATACTTAAAAATGTACCCAGAAACAACGGTATGGAAATAAAATAACGACAATTGTCTTTGAAACAAACAAACAAAAAAACATTTGCCTACCATACAATGAGGTGAGTTGACTTTTTACCTGGCGTTTCAACCATAGGCTTTCAACTGACGTCTGTGTGACTGCAGATGTGCAGACTCAACTCAGAAAAAAAAATCATTAACTACATTATTTTTGTATTGTCATTTCGTTCCTTGAAAGGTAAAAGTAGGCTACCATAAAAATAGAATATTAAAAAAAAAAAACGCAATATCAACCCGAGCTCACGTTAGCATTCGTACGAATTAGCCACCTAAGTTAGCGAATTAGCCACGAATTAGTTACTCACGCGTAGGCCTACGAAATGGTCATGAGATAGCGTTACAATACCAATGTGACGTTGATCCATGTCCAAATTGTAACGAATTTAATAACAAAAGGACCTTATATTCAAATAAGCTTTGCTATAATATCGTTTTTGGCTTTTGGTATTAATATGTTAAAGCGTAAGTTCACCCAAAAATGAAAATTCTGTCAGATGATGATGTCATTTACTCACCTTCAAAATGCTCTAAACCTGTATGAGTTTCTTTCTTCTGTTAGACACAAAGAAATATTTTGTTGAATGTTGATATAGTAAGTAAACAGTTTATGGTCCCCATTGACATCCATATTATTATTATTTATGTTGTAGTATAGTTGGAGTCTATAATGGGGTTCATCAACTGTCTGGTTAAATATCTTCTTTTGTATTCAACAGAAGAAAGTAACTCATACAGGTTTAGAGCAATTTAAAGGTTAGCCTGCCCTAAATGATGACACATTTTCATTTTTTGGGGTGAACTAACTCTTTAAGATTATAAGCTAGTGTGCTCCAAAACAATGACAAGATTCACATTTAGAAGATTATCTCTCACTTCTGCCAATATTAATCAATGATTTTCAAAGACATCACTCGTCTGCACTTCAGCTTCACAATACATTTATTGTCCAATCAAATGCTCTCTGGAATCTGAAGTCCCGCCCCCAACATTATAAACGGTAACAGGGCTGAAATCTAGTCACTTATTAACACAAGTATTATTTTCTATGGTGACTGGCACAGTGCAATTGGGTCAAATGAAGTCTGGTTTTTTTTTTGCACAAAATCGCAAATTATCCTTTACTACTCATAAGTATTGCAGATTTATTTGTGAAAAAGATTCTCATAGATGCAAAGCACACTGCATAAGTTACAAGTGTGTTTATCAATGACAAAGCAATCGGACATTATTAATTTTGATATGCTGATGACTTCTGCCGATACGGGACAGTGACCGTTATCAACAAGAGATCAAAATTATGCAAAATGGGCGATACCCAGGTTAGGCCACCTAGGCTACAATCTATTAAAATGACTGTATGTGTATATTGATTGACTGTGTATTTTTCCTTGCAGAAATCAAAGGAGGCCGTGTATGGAAATATCACCAAAAAACGGTGATCAAATAAAACGTCTCTGCCAGGATCTTTTTCTTCTAAATAAAACAATTTTTTTTATGTTTTATTTTACACCTGCACTCTCATAAGCACTATTGTTAAGTCTGCAATGTTTCTGCTGTGCATTTAATTTAATGTTGCACAAATAAAACAGTATCCAGAAACTTAACTAAATGTTTTATTTTTAGCTTAACATTAAAACATGGAAACTTTATAAAATGTTGATATCACCCTTCACTGTTCTCGATTACTTGGTCTACTCCAGTTTAAATAAATATAAAATTATCTCTAGTGTCTAAAGAAGAATTCACATCTTTCTAACAATAGTGCTACTTTTACCGATACAGTGTGCTATAAAATACTGTTCTCCCAGAGGATGAGCTGAAGAACAAATATGAAATAATAATGGGCACTTTAGAAACATTTTTGTAACAATTTAATAAAATCCAAAGTCGATATATTTTTTTTTACTGCCAAAGTCACATGATTGTTCAGTTTTGTCATAACTGTTCGACAATGTCAACGGTTTGCCGCTAGGGGGCGGATATTTGTGAACCCATAGCTGACTACAAGATTTTGACCTGATCTTGGATCAGTTTTATACATTTCTATACATTTAATAACACATTTGTACAATAAAAAGGAAGAGCTGTAGTTAAAAGTCTCTTATTGGTCTGATTAATCAACAGACCTACAATTTAATAAAATGATACATAGCTTATTAAAGACTTGTTATTTAATGCTATTCATTTGTTAATTATCTTTAATAGATTACACATTCAATAAAAACGTTTACAATGGGTTTGTAAAAGGTATTTTATTCATGTTTGGTCTGAGTATTCGCTGCATTTACACTGTTGTGACCAGCAGAGGTCGCCAGCGTGTGGAGATTTGAGTGATTCAAAACAATGAATCATTATTTCGAAGCAATGATTCAATTGATTCAAAGTTTCGAAAAGCTTCGTTTCTTCTATCACTAAACTAAATAAAAACACACGTAACTGATCACTGCGCTACCTCATGATGCCGGTTTATAATAATAATAAAAAAATAATAAACTCAATTAAACACAGATAGCCTACTTTGGTCTGAATAGCCTACATATTTTCACAGAGTTACTACTTTTATAGTAGGCTGAATCACACCAGCAGTGAGCAGAACAACAACATATATCCCTGCTATATGAACTGAAGACAGACCTGAAGCTGTAATGATAAATATATACAATTACAGGTTAGACTCATATTTATCATCACATTTATCGCCATCTGGTGAGTTCTGAATAACAGCAGCTAAGACATATGAATAACAATGCAACAGGTTACTTGTTTAAAACTAAGAGTCATGTGACATAATGTGAAACTTGAGTCACGATTTGATGATCTCAGTTTTGTGTTAATACCAAGTCAGAGCTCACGTTTTCATTTATTGGATCGATTCAACTGTATAAATGACAGAAACACTTAAGCACTTGAAAACTTTTCTACATAAAGATTGTGAGCAGGGAAATATGTCTGGAATCATAATGCAGGCTATCAACTTTCTCCTCAAACAACCAATTTGGAGAAAAAGAAACACATTCTAAACTTTTGAGCAGTTAAATATGATAATTGTGTCAAACAGTTGCTCATCTTGTTTGTTTTTTTCTCCGGTAGATAAAAAAATCTGATAATAGTGTCAGGACAGGAAGAAGCTCTTCACCTACAAAACACACACTGAACGCTCATTCTCACCTGAAAGATGTGTGTCCACCCAACAGACAAAACCACATTTCTGTAGAAAAGCGACCGCAGCAGTTTCAGTCTGACTCAGAACATGAACTTCAGAAAAACTGGCACTGTGAGGTGGCAGACGATTTTGTCTTTTTGTATCTTTGTTTTTCGACAAATTTAGACAAAATCTAATTTTAAAATCACTAAAGTTAGGTTTTCTAGCAATCTCGCCTGATATAAGACAGCCCTCGACTTGCTGTGTCGTCCTTATCCGAGTCTCCTTTTAATGATAGGCCATGTGTTCTCAGCAATAGACAGATCTGGACTGCAGACCAGCTCTGTTTTGACACACGAAGAATGACACCTCATGATACGATCTCATCTTAAGTGGCTGTATGTGCTTCTGTGCAATACCGATACCTCACCACCACGTCAATGATCCCTTCACGAATATGTGAGTCACCCCTGTGGTTTGCACTGATGCGTACCATTACAGAAGTTTGCTTTTGCATCTGTCTCTGATGAGAGTCTGGATGGTCCCTTTCGTCTTTGGGACTGAGAACTCAATGTCAGTTTTTCGAAAAATCTTTGCAATTTAGCCGTGACAGTAATATTTTTTTTAACTTTTATTTTGCCCTCTGTCCCACTCGGTTAAAACCCCACTTAATATTTACAAAATACAATTAAGTTGGTCAGCGGAAACATTGGAAACCTTTTCTTTTTTTGTAGTTAAATAAAGGTTCAAGAGAATTAATAAATCACAATATTCTTGATTTTGCAAAAATGCCCAATCTTGTTGGAAATGGGGTCACTGCGTGGGAGTGACCTATTCAAAAGGTACTAGGGGCTTTTGCCAGCCGAACTTAGCCCCGCCCACAATATTTGAGGTCGGGAAGTACGGTCTGATCCGTTGAGAAGCAAAGCCCTGTCCAAAATGGTGCACTTCATGGACTTTCGGTCTCATGGACTTAAAATGGGCGTGTTCACTGATTCTGAGTCCATAGGCCTTCCCATTCCTCATTTTAACGCTCTGAAGTGTGCTCAGCAGCGGGTGGGAGGAGATTTCGCTCACAGACAATTGTTAACATGGCTGAGACGAAAATATTTAAGTGTAAGTATCATTACGTTTTTGTTTTTTTTAACCTAGATGTACATTTTACCAGTTATTACCAACAGTTTATAAACATAATGGCCATTGACCAGTGGTTGATGTCTCAAACATTGGCTAATAATAGCGTGCTGAATAATACGATCGCATTATGATTCATTAAATATAGAACTAATATGTTCAGAATATGTTTTTTCTATAAATATGTTTAGATCTTCACACACGCGAGAGATCACTTCCGGCGCATGTGCAGACCAAAGCACCCGCGGCCTCAGATCACTTTGACGTGGCTGTGTTTACAAGAGGTAAAAACTATATAAATACTGTTCGTTTTCTCACACAAACCGCTCGTTTTGTGTCTTAGGCCATCAATGTGTACTTACATTTACGAGTCATTAAATCATGTATAATTTGCAATTCTCTGTGCATGCTCTTTGAGGTGGTGACCATAGACCTCCATTATATGACTGATAGACAAGAACGGTTTGACCTAAAAATATCAAAATTGAATATACTGCGGAAACAAAGACACCAACATCTTGGATGCCCTTGAGGTAAGATAAAACATACCAAAAATTAATTTCAAAGTGAACTATCCCTCACTGCCTAGCCTCAGTTTATTACAACACTAACTCTATATGAACATGGAAAATAGTGACAAATGGACCTCCCAACCTTAAATCCAACGCAACTTTGATGTGAATGATGTTTTTTTCTGCTCTGTATAACAGTTCTCGCTAATAACATGGGCTGTTAAACAGATTGTATACTAAAGACGGAGAATAAGAGTGCTGTGCATCAGGCTCTGGCTTTCTCAGCGCTGTCAAAATAAAAGTCACAACAACAAGTGCGGCTTACGTAACTTCAGATTTCTTAACGGCGTTGCAAATGCAACCAGGAAAATAGCTAGGCTAGTTCTCGGGGAACCACCCTGGTGTCTTTCTAGAACTACCCGGTGCGAAAACCCCTAATATGTACCATATCGGCAGTAACATGCACACTACACTTTATGTAGGCCTACACAATACTAATATGCACCCCCTAAATATAGGGAACGATTTGAAAGTCTTTGTACCTTACAAAAAGGAAATTAAATAACATAAATAATGAATACTTTGCCCATTAAGATCAGTTAAAGTTAATGTGAACTATAATAGTGCATCATGCAATGCAGGTTTGTGAAACTAGGAGGGTCACAGTGAGCTGTGGGAGGATTCACACATCAAATCAACACTTCTGCTGTGTGTTTAGCAGGCATTTTTCAGATCAGACACTGAACAACTGAAGAAAATGATTGTTTTGTTCTGTTTGTGCTGCTGGAGTCTAATCGGTAAGTTATTAAAACATGTTATGGCTTAATTTTTCTTCTCATATTAGAGTAATAAAGCTGCATACTGTTGAAATGAAATCATTTTCATCTGCTATTATGGACGAATCATGAATATTGGGAAATCTACTAACTTTGAATTCAGTCTCTGTTCAGAATTATAAACTGAAATAAAATGTTGAAAGGCATGGAAATGAATAGAAATCTCCAGATTTTTTAATTTTTCTTAATTTTCAAAAACATTTTTAATGGATTCACATCAGGTAGTGTATATATGCACAATTAACTTGCATGTTCACATATTTGTTTTTAATACATATATAATTTTACATTGATTTTCAAGATCATTTTAAAACAATTTAAAGATAAAGGATGTGTTGCAACATGCGGCTTCATCTTAAATCAAGGTTTAACTAATAAATCTGTTGTGCCAAACTTTAAACTGTGAAATAATCAGGTTTACATTTAAAACATCATTTTGATCCTGAATGGCGTTCCTTTAAAAGTAAATTCCTTAAGCAAGTCGTATATGACTGAAAAAGTTTTTGTTGTTTTTGGAAATCTGTCTTTGAGTTCATATCTGGAATTAATGCATTTATATTTTTACTATATTAAATAGCCTGTAATATTTATTATAAAATCCAATGTATTACTGCTTCTTGGATTGTTTGCTTGTTAAAAAAAATATATCTTTAAAAGTATTAATAATAATAAAACATTAAGCTCTATCTTTTTTTTCATAAATGATGCAGCCTATTAAATGAGACTGTAAATATATTTCCACAAACTGTAAGCGCTGCTGCGATGTTCAAGAGAATCAGTCTCTCTTTAACGGTAGCGTGTACAGTAGTTTACAAAATACACATATAAAGACGGTTGATATTTCAGGCTTTGTAAACCATCAGAAACCTTAATGTAAATTTGTTAGGTTCCACTTTATTTTGATAATCCACTTTATACAGTTTACTAACTATAAGTAACTTTACAACGACATGTCAACTAACTCTCATTAGAGTATTAGTAGACTGAATACTCGAATGAGAGTTAGTTGACATGTGCAGTAGTTGTAAAGTTACTTATAGTTAGTAGAATGTCTAAAGCAAATGGAACCATTTGTTTTGTCCATCAGGTGTGTTTGGTGATTCAGTGTCAGTGATGGAGGGAGATTCTGTTACTCTAAACACTGATGATACTGAAATACAAGAAGATGAAGATATACTGTGGACATTTGGATCTGAAAACTCTCTGATAGCTAAAATTAAAAAAAAGAAGCAAATATTCTCCATATATGACGTTCCTGATGGGAGATTCAGAGACAGACTGAAGCTGGACAATCAAACTGGATCTCTGACCATCACACACACCACAACTGAACACACTGGAGTTTATAGACTACTGATAATTAGAGCTAAAAATTCATCAAAAACATTCAATGTTTCTGTCTATGGTGAGTAGAGATCATTTGTCCTTAAAATGTTTAATAATTTTATTGTTTAAGATAACAGACACATTCAGTGACCATGAACACACTAAACACTCACTCAACACAAAATGTACTATTCATTAATTCACAAGACCTAAAAAAGGACAATTGTGTTCACATTTCTCTTTTTTCTCAGCTCGTCTGCCTGTTCCTGTCATCATCCGTAACTCTTCAAACTGTTCTTCATCATCAAATTGTTCATTGGTGTGTTCATCATCAGTGTTGAGTGTGTGTGATGCGACTCTGTCCTGGTACGCAGGAATGAGTGTATTGTCCAGCATCAGTGTGTGTGATCTCAGCATCAGTCTCTCTCTACCTCTGGAGGTGGAATATCAGGATAAAAACACCTACAGCTGTGTGCTGAACAATCCCATCAGCAACCAGACCACACATCTGGACATCAACACACTCTGCAGACACACATGTGCAGGTACACCACCACTCATCATATATATGTGTGTGTGTGATTACTGACCTGATCTCTGTCTTCTGTTCTAGATCACACTGATGCGTTCACTCACTGTTTTCCTCTCCTTCAGGTCCTCCAGTGTCAGTGTCTCTGATAGTGTTGATCTCGGCTGGATCTCTGATGATTGTTGCTGGATTCGGGATCTTCTGGATCTGCAGGAAATGTAGAAAAATTGACAAAGGCAAGTGTTATAGAGCTTTTAAACAAGTATTCTGACAAATAAAATAATACTTTGAAAATAGGCTTTAAACAAGTCAATTGATAACCCTATTTAATTAAAATGATTCTTAATTGTGCAACCGTTATATGAAACCAAACTAATATGTGTAGTTATTTTCTGCAGAACACTAATTTCGGAATTTGTGTCTATTGGGTATTATACTCAACGTCACTCTCACTCACACACAGCATCAACACTGAAAATGACAATTCATAAATTCAGACATGTTTACTTTTCATTAAAAATTACTTAAAATAAAATACTTTTATTTCAAGTAAAAAATCTTTCATGCAGCTCGTGCTCAAATTAAAATCTAAATGAATGATGACTTTCGTTGTGCTTCTTCAGCCTAAAAGATGATTCATGTAAATGACTAAACACCAATTGTTTTACATGTAAATGTCTCTCTAAATGTTATGACAAACACGTTTGTTTAGTAAAAATATTTGTGTGGTAAAAGTTAAAATCAGCAGTGTTAGATTTTTATTTCTTTATGTTTGAAAGCCCTAATAATAATATAAATATTGTGAAGAACCAGTTTTAAGATTGAATTTTGCAGGTTTTAATGCACCTATTCTTGTCCAACAGTTGAGACTTCTTCGGATGAGATCATTTACGCTGAGACGACATTCGACAAAAGAAGCTCCCAGAAATCGGTGAGATAATATATTGTTAATTTGATGAGTATTTTTATAATTTCAGATGCGTTTGTTTCATCTGTATAATATGGAAGCCCATTTCCACCACACAATAAAGAAAAAATTAATTCCTAATCGCGACAACAACAAAAAACGAAATACTAAATCAAAATGTAGACAGTAAAAAATCTAAATTTTGACTTAAAAAGTTGAAAAATATCACATACAACGTTGAAATAGTGATTTTTTGTCAAAATTACAGAATGACGTACTCGTAGACTCAGTATGCCATAATTTTGTTATGACCCTCCTTAAAAATCTAGGTGTTGAGAACCTTAAACCAGTTCGGACCCCTGTCATCAATAATCACTGTGAATGGGTTGAGAATAACAAGAGACACAAGACAAAAAAACGATTGGACTTAATTTGATAAATGTAAAGGGAAAACTATCCCTTATGTGCTGTTGTGGCCACTGTGGGGTATTTTTGAGTCTTAATTTGGCCATTACTTTTTCCGTGTTTCAGCAAATGGAATGATTACTGTAGACAAATCTTATTTAGACACACATTTTGGTAAAATGCTTTGAAAATTTTAAAAAACTCAACAGTGGGCAAATTCACTACCCTTTCGTTATGCTCGTGACTGAAAACAGCCACTACTTTAAACTGATGATGTAAAAATGTATCAGATAAATATTTTTTTTCAAAAAAAAAATTTTGTGCATAAATCAAAACTATTATTTTTTTTAAAAAAATCAGGAATTTAACTCTTTAATTGCCAAATTTATAAATGATGTCGCTGATTTTGGGGAAAAAACACACACAAACTTATGACACATGAATTATTTTCAATATAAAATGTGATTGTGGACTGGATTTATTTTTTTAAATTTTTTTTTTACCTTTAATCAGTCTTGGACATGTCAAAGATTAGAAACAACATCGGTTTTGATGCATTATTAGTTTTTTTCTCCCTCATTTACTGTTCGTGGCTGTTTTTGCCCCATTGACTTCCATTATTACCACATTTTTTGATTGCAAAGCCATGGCACCATATAATCATGCATTTTTGATTGTTGGTGGTTTTCCCTGTTGGGAAGAGGTAAAATTTGTAATTTTTACTGTTGATAACCAGGTGGCACCATTAACCCTTTAGACAGGCCTGTGCAAAAAAAGCTAGTGTCTGGCTTTTACGTGTCGTGGAGTATAATAGCATATTAAAGTGTGTGAGTGTGTGTGAGAGAGAGAGAGGGTGTGGGAACTCAGCTTGATGCGTCTGAGAAAATCAAAATATGCACCTCAGCTCTCAGAACTACACGGAGTAAACAAAAACAAAGTGTATTTATGCATCTGCTGCCTTTTGATGGTGAGAAATGCAGACTAAACAAAAACAAAGCAAGTGGATATAAACACTTGTCATTTGATGGTGAGAAGAGCAGCAAGCAACATGAGAAAGGGCTTTAGTAGTGAAGTTTTTATGGTGCATTTCTCACTATTAAGGCAGCAGATGCACAAATACACTTTGTTTTTGTCTACTCCATGTAGTTTTGAGAGCTGAGGTGCATATTTTGATTTTCTCAGACACATCAAGGTGAGTTCACACCCTCTCTCTCACACACACACACACACTCGTCACGGATAATTGAACGGCCAATTAGCACGTCGCCTGTTAAAGTGAAAGAATAGAGAGAGACACGGAACCGAAAAGAGAAACACACACTGTAATGGCTATCTTAATGGTTCGCAATTATTGACTTAAACTAAGCTTAATTCTCTTATTATAACCACATAGATAGTATGAACGACATAAGACAGTTTTACGCGTTGAGTTGGCATCGGAACAACCGTGTTGTAGAGTTGTGACGTTCGCGAACGAACCGATTCTTTTGAACGGCTCATAAACATGAACGATGGGAGCCGAGTCGCGGCAGGAGGGGAGCCGTTCTTTCTGTCGTTCTTTTTTTCCTATGCGTGTTTTACACAGATGCACATAAATTACCTCCTCAGTTACAGGGGAAGGGGTGCCCAGCGCAGGGGTGATAGTTGTGCACTCGCGTGCATCTTTTACGTTATCTTTTATAACCCTACGTGCCTATGTCACGTAGGAGCGGAGCCAAAAGTTGTGCACGCCGCCATCACATGGTTACTCCAGTTTTTTTTTTTTTTAAAGCCATAAAGTAAGGAACTGCTTGTATTTATTTACATTGCATTTTGTGTTCATGTTAATGTCATTGTATCTACAGTATATATTTACAACTTTAAATATTTTTTGTTTTTTATCAAAATGTTCTTGTGGTATTGTATGGAAAACATAAGTCAACAGCTTTACACATACACTCACTTTGTACTAAAGGTAAATCCAAAATAGTGATGTCACATTCTAAGCAGAGGGATGTTGTGCAACCCTTTGAAATATAGCCCACACATGACAAATGAGGTAATAATCAATATTTCAGAATAATTCAAACTCAGATATTGATGTGTGATATCTGAGTTTGAATTATTTGACTACAAATCTCACCTCATCATTCCTCCCAGTGATTATACTAAATATTTAAAAAGAGCCAAAAGAGCCATTCTTTTGAACGGCTCTTTGAAAGGAACGGATCGCCAAGATCCGGATCCCCTCAAAGAGCCATAAATCCCATCACTACCGTGTTGCTCCGCCGTCCACATTCGTTTAATGATTTCTTTCCTTACAGCTTCAAAATAAGAGTCCCAATACAACTTCAAAATAAGAGTCCCAATACAAAAGTTGCACAGATACATCAAATAAACACAAATATTAAAGAGTAACAAATATTAATAACATAAGCAAACTTGCTACTAATCAATGGCGCTTACACACACAAGACACCCAAAAACACTCGAAACATCCCTGTCTGAGGACGTAACACTTTCTATATGTCAAAATTTTGACTTGTTATGTCTTAACAATAATCTACCAGAGCTTTTTTTTTTTTTTGACATGGTTGACATGGGCTTCCATATCATAATGATCTATCACATAAATCACGAAACACAACAGCACCATCAGATGTTTAAAAGTATTGTTACTTCGAATAAACTATATATCACATTATTTATTATTATTCCATGTTATGCATTTTTCACAGAAAGTTGAAGCGGACGATTGCGTGGATTATGCACCGATCGCGATGAGAAGATGATCAAACTTCAGTCTCTTTCAGTACAAGGCCCAGATTGAGAGTCAATGGTTGAGTTTTGGGATTGTGAGAACATTAATTTATAGACGAACTGATCTATAAATGAGCATGCACCCCGGGACATTGTGTGAATGATTATTACCGTCGGGTGAAGTGTATCTTTTGATACTATTATTTTTTTTTGATACTATGTATTTTGGGATTTAACCTCACCTATACCATGTTTGGTCTCTATAAATTGGTACCTTGAAGATCGAAATGATCGTGCAGCCCAGTCTCATCCCAAGACGTCATATACTGACGCTTTTGACATTTCGTCTATATCCAACGCACGTGGCACCCTTTAGCGTCAACATGAGACGCTATGGGCCAGAAGGCGCCCCCTAGTGGTCTAATGGAGCTTCATTCCCTGCTTACGGTTTCATTCCGTCACTTTTCATGTGTGATTGTGTTTAGATTAGTTGGATTCGTGATTTATAGTTAATAAACCTGTGCACAATACATATTTGGTTCTGAATCTCTGCTTGCAACAAAATTCAAGATTCTGACTACATGCTCTCTGAGATGTACTTTACTGTAAGAAAGTTCATTCACAAACATGGAAATTAACACTTCTTAATGTTAATGAATAATTAATTAGGCTATAACAAGATCCGATTCATTATTATTATTCATTTTCTTGAGCTGTCATGCCGCAGGGTCGTCCTAAAGAGGTTTAAAGAATGGATTAATAAAAAGATCTTATAAAAACTTCTAAGTTGGAGGCTCCATAACATTTCATCTACTTGCAAGACCCAGCTTAAACATGGTGGTTGGATATGTATTTTCAATAATGTGGCTGCATGTGGCCTTATGTGTGTGCCTAATATGCATATCCGTGATCTAGCAACTTTGAGCACATATAAATACGCAATATAAAATGAAACTTAACCTTATAGCGCGAGGACTTTTAACAAATTGTGTTATTTTTTTTACTTTTGCAGTGCAAAATGTGGATGAAACTAAAGGAACAGACACCTTGTGATCTCTATTTCTGTCAGTACAGAACTGTGGTTTGATTAGCTGGTTTGTGCATGAGAACATTTCAGCTGCTGGACGTGTGTGTGTTTGATGTCAGTTTGTGATCG